TATTATGGTTTATAATGGCAAATGATACTTTGAATATTACATGTTAATAACTTGATTGGAATTATAACCCTGAGTTGACAGTTTGATACTTTGAAAATTTTGCCCAAGGGCTGTAGGGTGGGGCCCAAAGGAGTCAGTGTGCTAAAATTTCTTCATTTTCCTTGTTTAGAATCAGAGGTGCTAGTTTCAAATACTTTTTAGTCTTAAATCTGTATGCTAGATATTAAATGAGGTGGTTTTATTGTTTTTTGTCACTGAATAATAATTCTGTTCGTGTTAAAAACAAAATCAACTCTCTGTATAAATATATCAGGTGACCGTTAAGGCCCATGGGCCTCTTGTTGGTTTTTGTTGTCAGCACCTGAAAACTCTCAGATACCAAACAAATTCGGGGGAATTTCCCCGTTTTTGTCTTGCCACCAGGAAGTGGAAGCGATACTTCTGATTTTCATGAAATTTGGTATGTAGGTATAGACTGGGACACTGGTAACTTTCGTAACCTGAGTTTCACATTTCGACAAAATGGCTGCCATTTCCTGGCCTTGGATTGGTCAAAATCATATCCAGTAATAACTTTCGTTCTACGTGATGGAACATAATGAAACCTGGTGGAAGGGATGACAACGTGACCGCTTGTTTTCTACCAAAAAAAAATCACTTTGGATTCAAAAAGGCGGCCAACCCCAGGCTTATGATTGGTTGAAATTTAGATTTGTCTGATTTTGATGATCTTTGGTATATCTGTGGTACTAAGCAGTGGAGGGGTGACCTCCGCTATTGCTCACAATTGCAAATCTAGTTTTTATCTCGACCAAAAATTGGTATATGCGGGTATTAGGGGACTGCAAATTCAAAAATTTGGAATTTACATTGTAGGTAAATTATGGTATTGCGATCCTTTTCTCATGTTTCTTTGCTACTATGGGGGCAGTTTTGGGGACTTCTGTTATGGTACCCCATTACTAAAAAAAGTAGTTGGTATGCTTTGAAAATTTCCCAATTTGATTATTCTAAAGCCATTGGCCCAATTCCCCCCCAAAAATGAGAAAAAGTCCGTTGCAGCCTGCACAAATTAAATCATTTTAGTCAACTTCATCATTGTCCTGTATGTGAACCCTTATTTATAAGTGTCTTATTTTACTCAGGTAAAGTACAACATCATTCAGTATGTGAACCCGGAGCTTCAGAATCTGTACAACTGGCTGGAGGTTGACTTCCATCCCCTCTGTCTATATGACCGAGTCAAGGCTCCAGTAGAGTTCATCGCTGGTGTTGACGAGCTTAACCAGTACATGAATTGTCTTGAGAATATTCTCATCACTAGGGTTTTGAAACAGGTATGTTTAAATTAACATTTCACTATATTGACTTACCAATTACGAAGCTGAGTTAATTGTGCAAAGCATGAACAACATCTGAGTGTAATGTGTTTTACAATTTTATTTACAAGGTATAAGTATTGAGTAATTTTGTTTATGCATTTAATGAATTAAGTAAAAAATATTCTCATCAAAACAAAAGGCCATTGGTGCATGAAGTTCACATCACGAAAAATATGGTTACCTGGTTTTGGTCTGGATAAGCAATCACGGTAATTTGTTACTTCTGGCCATGCAGCCCAACTGTTTATCAACAGGAAGATACAATAGTGTGACTTATAACCTGACAGATGATGATTATTTCCACAATGTCAAAATATATATGTGGGGCTTAGTTGGTGGATTACAATTATGAACCCTATAACCGTAGATATACAAAATCGCTTGGCATAAAGATATCAATACACTTGTGCTACCATGATTTACCCAGGGGACCTGCAACACATCAGGGAACTTACTCCCTGGGTCATAACATGGCAACAGTTGTAATCTCCAACCTATAACTATATATTATTGCTAGGCATGAAGAAACAATTACACTCCTGCCATTTGAATTGGCCCTGGGGTCTTCCTCACCCCTTTCTACTTGTCAGATATATATTTATAAATGACGAGACAAGGCACTAATGCTACTAGGATTGGCCTAGGGGTCAAGCCCTACCCCAGGGTACCTACTTCCTAGTTCTTGACCCTATACACATGAATACAATTACTAGGAAAGGAGAGGTAAATACACTATTGCTACTAGGATTACCCCTTGTTATGCTTGTCTGCTCACACAACTGCTAATCAATAAGTCTGGGAGATTCCCCTTCAAAGTGTTTTGTACAGAAAATTAGATAAGTTCATCATAATCTTGTTTGTAAGGCATTATGTGAAACAAAATTAATTGTGCATTCAAACTTTTCAGGTATCCCAAGTATACCAGACCATAGAGTTTTCTAGGATAGCAGCTCTTGTCCCATTTTCCTCTAGTTTCCGTTTGGAGAGAGTGATTGTGGAATCTGCAAGAACCTTGGATCTCCAGGTAAATCCCTGCACAACACAAAAATATAGATCAGTTACTGCAATATTAATCATGATCTTCATGATAAGCTCACAATGTTTGGTGGATGGGTTGGTGGCACCCACCTTTCACCGAGACAGCCACCCCGATTCCCCATTCTGAGGTAATAAGGTGTGGTCACCGAGACAGCCACCCCAATTCCCCATTCCGATGTAATAAGGTATGGTCACCGAGACAGCCACCCCGATTCCCCATTCTGATGGAATAAGGTATGGTCACCGAGACAGCCACCCTGATTTCCCATTCTGATGTAATAAGGTATGGTCAATGAGACAGCCACCCCGATTCCCCATTCCGATGTAATAAGGTATGGTCACCAAGACAGCCCCCCCGATTCCCCATTCCGATGTAATAAGGTATGGTCAACGAGACAGCCACCCCGATTCCCCATTCCGATGTAATCAGGTATGGTCACCGAGACAGCCACCAAGATTCCCCATTCTGATGTAATAAGGTATGGTCAACGAGACAGCCACCCCGATTCCCCATTCCGATGTAATCGGGTATGGTCACCGAGACAGCCACCAAGATTCCCCATTCTGATGTAATAAGGTATGGTCACCGAGACAGCCACCAAGATTCCCCATTCTGATGTAATAAGGTATGGTCACCGAGACAGCCCCCCCGATTCCCCATTCCGATGTAATCAGGTATGGTCACCAAGACAGCCACCCCGATTCCCCATTCCGATGTAATAAGGTATCGTCACCAAGACAGCCACCCCGATTCCCCAATCCGATGTAATAAGGTATGGTCACCAAGACAGCCACCCCGATTCCCCATTCCGAGGTAATAAGGTATGGTCAACGAGACAGCCACCCAGATTCCCTATTCCGATGTAATAAGGTATGGTCACCGAGGGAGCCACCCCGATTCCCTATTCCGATGTAATAACGTATGGTCACCGAGACAGCCACCCCGATTCCCCATTCTGATGTAATAAGGTATGGTCACCGAGACAGCCAACCCGATTCCCCATTCTGATAGAATAAGGTATGGTCACCTGCAGATGCCTGAACACATGGATTTACTCCCGCTTTAAGACCCCAAGCACACTTCCATCCAGGTCAACAATAATGATAAATTTGTTGCAAAATAAAGCTTTATTAACTTTTGATGAAAGATGGCATTAAATTTCACTTTTATTTTTGAGATATCCATATTTTCTGAGCTCCTTCACTTTTTTAACTCATTAACCCCTGAAATATCATAATGAACTATTCCAACCTTTGAATTAGAAGAGTTCAAATGTGTCTTCAGGGGTGAATGACTTCATAGCTGGTGCCCTATAGTAATTGCTGTGTCCATCTGTCCACACTTGTTTTAGAATCCAAATGAATAATCTTTATGAAATTTGACAGAGTGATACTTCTAAGGTCAAAGTCAGTATTACTAAAAATAGAACACAGGAATTAGGAATGCTGAAAGTTCATTGTTGAAATGTATGATGTAATCATTGCTTGATTGACGGGAATGATCAGGATAGATAAAGTTGAAAGAGGAGGAGGAAGATGATGATGGATGTTGAAAGATGATTGAGGGTGATTATGATGTGATCAATAATTGATATGGATGTGAATGATGAAGATTATATGACATTGATGATGATGGTTTTACGATGAGAAATATGAAAATATATTTATATATAGTAGATAATAGATAAATAAGTCCTTGCGAAGGAAAATATAGAATAAAAACAAATTTTTCAGATCGTCCGCTAGGCCTTTCTGCCTTCTAGGGCTTCTTCAGGCGGATTGATGTTTATTTATCACCGTTGGTTACATGACGTCATCAATATTTGTATAGTCAACAATTTTAGTGACGTCATAAATAAACAAGCATAGTGACGTCACGAACAATACCAAGACAGAGAAAACATCTACATACAATACATTGCAAAAATCATTGTGCATTCAGGCTGGGTTTGAGGACTTTTATAAACATATTTTCTTTAATTTCTCTTGCAACTACATCGTCGCTATTCAGTTTGTAAATAGGTAACACATGAAAATCATCTTTAGAACATCGATGCATATGTTTGCTAACTTTTAAAAATCTTAGTTCATTGTCCTTCATTTGTTGTCTATGTACATTCATTCGTATTCTCAATTCACATCCGGTCTGTCCGATATAAAATTCACCACATTGTTTACATATTAAAGAGTAAATAACATTCTTAGAATTACAGTTAATGTCTGATCTAATTTCTATTTTGGAACCATTTGCAAAAACGTAGTCTTTACATTCAATGATAATCTTACATGTACCACACCTTGGTTTCTTACATTTTTTTTTACACCAGTGACAACATTTGTGGTATTCATATCAAATTTGGATGTACATAGTAAACGTTTTAAGTTTTTAGGTTGTCTTTTACAGTTTATAATCTTCTTCTTATCAAAAATACACTTCATGTTCTCACTGTTTTTCATAAAATTTACAAAATGTTTAACGACAGGAAACATATTACAATTATTTGGATTGTAAGTAGTAACAAATGGTATGATATCAGCATCTTTGGTGTTAGCTCTTTCTAAATTAACACTGACAGGGCCTTTCTCTTTAGCTCTTTGTATGGCGTTTAGTACCACTTCAGCAGGATAACGTTTGCTTTTAAGATAAAGTTTCAAATCGTCCAATCTATCTTCTAATATTTTTTTATCGCTAACAACCGTGACTAATTTCGATGCTAAACCATATGGAATGTTAAGCTTAGTGTGTTTAGCATGATTTGAAAAGAAATCCAAATAATTGTGAGAATCTGTAGGTTTACAATATATATCGCTAACAATATTTTGTCCTTTAATTTCTACAAAAATATCCAAGAAAGGTATTCCTTTTTCACTTAACTCCATTGTGTAATTCAAATCGGGATGCAAGGCATTTAGCATATTGAAAAATTCCAGAAGATTCTCACCTGGAGGCCAAATAATAAAGCAATCATCTAGAAATCTCAAAAAGTTGTCTTTAAAATAATTTGCAAAAGTAACACTAAATGGGTTTTTAACATTTGTATAAAGTTTATCTTCTAAATACCCAAGGACAAGCGTCGCATAGGTAGGGGCCACCTTTGTTCCCATTGCAGTACCTTTACACTGTTGGTAAAAATTACCATTATTATATTTATATATATATATAGATGCTAATGAGGAAGATGAGGAATTTATTATATTGGAAGTGAATGATGACATTGACTGCTTTTATGCTGATGATTTATTTGGAAAAATAAAGCAATTACACAAAAAAAAAATATAACCGGCATATGGCAAGCTCTTGCTGACCTGTCAGTATTCTAGTTATAGAACATGACATGTTTAGAATTTTTTCTTGACCTTGTAAAATGTGTATGTGCATTCATCACAGTTTTCTACAACATTCTTTCCCATGAAGAAAATGTTCCTTAAACCAACAATTTACAAATTCTACATTTTGGCCACTGCTTTCATTAGGTGAGAATCGACCACCGAAAGGCTTGCCTGAGCTTTGGTACTGATCTTATGGTAGCCCAGAAGGAAGATGTGCCTGAGGGCCCTTATATCCAGAGCATGCCAAGTGAACAGATTCGCAACCAACTGACCAGCATCGCTGAGGCACTTCACAAGTCTGTCATCCTCATTGAGCCCAAGGAGCGCAAGGTTAGAACCATTGTTTCACAACTGGTAAAGTCCGCTAATATCAGAAGCATAACTCTTCTCAATTACAGGCATGCCTTAGACCCAAATCCGGGTCATGTCTTGAGGTTTAGAATATCTAAGTTAAAAATAAAAGTTACTAAATTATACAGTTGCTTTGTAAGTTTTCATGCCGGGAGAGATAGTATCTTGTAAGTTTTCATGCCGGGAGAGATAGTATCTTGTAAGTTTCCATGCCGGGAGAGATAGTATCTTGCTAACTTGCTTAACAAATGCATTTCAAAACTAAGGTTGCTTATCTCAGAATTTGGCATGTCTGGCTGACTAAGCTTCAGCCAAATTTCTTGCTTCATTGAATCATTACTGAATCAATCTCTCTAAAAAAATCCGACCAGATTTCATAAACTCCTTTCATATTTCATAAACAACATAACTTGCCCTGCTTATTAGCATGACCGCATGCAAGCTCCACTTTCACCACAGGCCTAGTAGATAGACTCCCTCGATGATGTCTGGACTTATTATGTACTCTTTGTTGTACACATGCTGACAATATCGCCACTTGATTGTGGGAACTGTTACTGAAATTTTGTCACTGCTGTGTGCAAATATTTACAATGTTTTCGTTGTAAATGCAGGTCCAGCGCGAGGAGCTGCGTATGCAGATCATCAACAACTACAGGATGACGTACAAGAAAGATCACAGCCGAATCCTCCAGCGTAGACAAATCATTGAGAGTCGTAAGGAGGAGCTGGAACATATGAATGACCAGAGGGTAGGGGCTAAGTTTCATGCTTGATCATCCTCTCTAACTATGGGTTATGATCCAGAACTGAAAAAGTGTATTGGATCAGAACCCTTCGTTAGTAGATTTAGATTTTGTTTACACTTATGTGCAGTCACTCAGTTTAATAGAAAAGTAACTTCATAGCATATAGCTAGTTCATTTATCTGCTTAGGATAAAAAATACATATATATATAATTTCTGATAGTTTGGTTGGAAACTAAGCACCTTAAGTTTGAGTGTACTTAGTTTAGCCTCCTTTCATGTTGGTGCAGCTAAGATTCTCCGGTAGATGTATTAACATTTGAAAATTAGAATTACTATAACTGGTAAGAAAACATGCTTTAATTTCCGAGATAAAGGGAGTGTCTCTGATTTATTTTCAGCTATAGTGTCAACAATGTAAATAGCATCTTAATTAGTCCTAAAGGCCAACCATTTTCATTGCTATTGAAATAGCCCTTCATCCATCCGTCTGTCATCTATCCTTAAATAATTCTTGTTATTGCTATTTCTCAGAAAGTACGGTAGGGATCTTTCTCAAGTTTGATATGTAGGTTCCCCATGATCTGTAGCTGTGCATGTTTACTTTAAAAACTTATTGGAAATTACAAGGTTTGAAGTTATGTACATGATTCTCCTTTAGAATTTCCAACTTGAGAATTGGTAATAGTACCTGTAAGGAAAACAAAGAGCAAACCGGGTAAAAGATGATCTTTTTTAGATCTTATAAAGATCCTTTCATGTTGGTTGGCAAGATCCTTCTTGGATCTCATTAGCTCACCTAGTCCATTGTCCATCCATCTGTCAACAATTTCTTCCAACCTCTCTTTCTTAATTGCTGATTGGAAAATTAGCCAAATTTGACTGGAAGCATCCCTAGATGGTGGGAATTTAAATTTTCAAATCTTCAACCCTGTTTGAAGAGGAGGGACAGGGCCAAAAAGGGGAAATCAAGGCCATGTTGCTTTAATCAACTGCTTTGAAACTAAGAGATGGTTATCACCATATTTGGTTGGAAGCATCCCTAGATAGTGGGGATTCAAAATTGTACAAATAGTTTCTCAAATTTTATATGTACCGGTAGGTTTCGTATGGTGCCTTGCGCATATTGAATTTTGGGATTGTTTAAAAAAAAAGGGGGGGGGGGGGGGGGGGGCAAACAGGGAACCATCTTGGAATAACAAGAGTAAAAGTTCGTAAGTGCTGTTTTTCAGAAAGTACTGGCAGGATCTTTGTCAAATGAATTTTTAGGACTAATCAGAATGCTGACAGGAAGATACAATTTAAATGGCATCTCAATCACGGGGCAGGTTTGAATTTTGTTAATGGTATCCTTAGCTCATGGGGGTTAAAAGTTTTACAAAAAAGGAGGCTGACCCTTCTGGAGGCTCCCTTCCCAAACTACTTGGCAGATAATGACTTTCCATTTCCATTATAGTCAACTGAACCTTTCTAAGCTAATGTGCCTCCGGTAAAAAAAAATCCTATTTGTAGAAAACATTTAGAAATTTAAACTTTTTTTGGTTTTAGGAGCGAGAAGAGTTGGAACAGGCAGAAGAAATCAGAAAAAAAGCTTACGATGCAGAGATGGCGCGCTTGGACCGAGAGGCAAAAGAGCGTGAGCGACAGAGGCGTGTAGAGGAACACAAGGAAATTCAAAAGAAGCATGCCATGGAGAAAATTGAACAACTCAAAAAAACTGAGATTGGCTCCAAGGTTCTACAAAATCTTGATGAGGAGGTAATAAAAGAAGACTCGAGGTCCTCAGAATCTGAACACAGAGGTAGTTGGGGAGAATCTCCGAGGCTCAACAGAATCTAAATAGGGAATTGTTAGGGAGATTCTGACATAATCATAATAGAGAGGACAAAATAAAGTGGAGTTCCAAGGTCCTGTATAATTTGAAAACATGTTATTGGGGCCAAATTCCAAGGGAAAACTCATAAGGTGCTACATTATCTGAACTTATTGATTATTGATTCAATGAGGTTAACGATGTTCCTTCAGGATCTGAACACAAGTGATTAAAGTTAAATTCTAATGTCTTACATAATCTGAATATGAAGTTTACTGAAGATAACACCAAGGTTCTACAGAAAACTCCCAGCTCCATTTAACACTGTGGAGGTAATATACTCCAAAGTCTTACAGAAGTTGAACATTGAGTTTATGAGGGCCCCACATCAGAGAAGCGGTTGCCTTATAGTCTCACAGTGTCTGTCTCTCTCTGGCCATCTACACTTTCATTTTTTGAGATTATCTGGCGTCCAAAGACTTATCTTCCTGAAATTTGACATGGTGACACACAATGAAATGAAGATGTGCGATAGGGGGTTGAACAAATTTCTAAAGTCAAGGTCACTGTTACTAAAAATAGCTTATTTCGGTATTCGAAAGACTAATCTTGCTGATACTCAGTGAAATGTACATGTTCAAAAGGTGTTTTAATTTTTAGCTCACCTACCCAAAGGGCAAGTGAGCTTATGTCATGGTGCGACATCCCTCAATCTTTGTTTTAAACAACTTTTTCTGAATAACGTACAGGCCTAGACTCGTGATATTTAGCTGAAAGCTTCGTTGGTAGGAGCCCAACAAAGTTTGAGAGAAAGAAAATGACCTTGACTTACTTTCAAGGTCACAGGGGTCAATTGTTTCAAACACTTTCAAACAGCTTCTTCTAAAGAGCTGAAAGGTACAGAATCTCGTTATTTGGCTGGTGGCTTCCTAGGAAAGAGCCCGACAAAGTTTGAGAATGAAAATGACTGACCTACTTTCAAGGTCACAGTGGTCAAATATGTCAAACTCTTCAAATGACTTCTTCTGAAGAACTGAAGTGTATAGAATCTTCATATTTGGCTGGTGGCTTCCTGGAATAGAGCCCGACAAAGTTTGAGAATGAAAATTACCTTGAGCTACTTTCAAGCTCACAGCGGTCTCAAAGTCATTTTATTCTCAAACTTTGGTATAGAGCTCACCAAGGTTTGCAAATGAAAATGACCTCAACCTACTTTAAAGGTCACCAAAGTCAACAACATTTCAAACGATTTGTTCTGAAGAACCAAAAGGAATGGATTCATAAGATTTTGCTGGTAGCGTCTTGGGATAGAGCCAACAAAGAGAAGGGGGGAAAATCCCTGCGACCTTGACCTACTTACAAGGTCACAGGGGAAAATATGTCAAACAACTTCTAAAGAAGAACTAAAAAGCAAAATCATAAAATGATATTTGGCTGGTAGTTTCAACAGATGGAACCGACAAAGTTTCAAGTGAAATATTTGTAGTACAGTATAATATTTAGTGAGAATATTTTGCTATGACTGTTAAATATTCAGGTGAGCAATACAGGTCCTCTGGGGTCTCTTGTTAAACTTGCCAGACTTTCCTTCAATGTCCAAGCACCCATGTTATACCTCTTGTTTGTAAGGTCAAGATCAATGTCGGTGCTACTAAAATAAAGTGTATGGGAGGGTACAGTCCTTATTCTGTAATATGAAAAACTTACTTTTCTTAAATTTGATATGGTGATGCACAGTGAAGTGTAGATGTGCAATAGGGATGTAAAAAGGTTAAAGTCAAGGCCACTGATACTGAAGAATAGATAAAGTCGTACAGTCCTTATTTCTGAAAAGGAAAGACTTTATTTTTTATTTTATTTTATGACATGGCATGACATAGTGAATGAACATAATAACTAAAAGTCTTCTTTTTTTTTTTAAATCAAGGTCACTTAAAGTTGAATAACTAATCTTACTGAAACTTGACATGGTGATACACAGTGAAGTGTAGATGTGTAATGGGGGGGGATTCAAAGATCAATGTTCTAGCTAGTGTGTTTGTCGGAAGTTGTGTGGTTTCAAACAACAATAGTCGTTGATATTTCTCTTCAAGAAAGAAAGATCATATTTTTATGTCACCCATGGGGAACGTTGATTTGAGACATTGTCTGGAATTCTATGGAATCTACAAAAGGCATTAGAGAGAAATGGAGTCATAAAGTTAATCCAGCACCACTTAGACTGACCTAATCTCCATTACTAACTGTTGATACTTGATACTGTTAAGATATACAATATGTACTTTATTTATTATTTTGGAATTGTATTTCATTAAGGACTTCGAGAAACTTGATGTTGATGAGATCATGCAGAAACAATTGGAACAATTGGAGAAGGAGAAGAAGGAATTGCAGGAACGTTTGAAAAGTCAGGAGAAAAAGGTGAGAAGTATGATTTGTTTATTCTTTCAGTTTTCAATTAGCTCTATATTATTCTCTAATTGATAGTATAATATTTCGAAAGATGTTTTACTTCTGTTATAATTAATATTTTTCAGATTGACTTCTTCGCCCGTGCCAAACGTGTTGAAGAAATTCCTCTGCTAGTTGAACAGTATGAAAAAGAAAGCAAAGATGCCAGAGCTTTTTGGGAGCGTATGGAAGAAGAAAGGGTACAAAACTACATCATTCTGCAGAAACAATAAGAGGCTATAGGGCAATAGCTTCCCTGAGCGAGGGGTTATAAGTTTGCGCTCGGTCCATCTGCCCGCCTGCCCATCCAAAGAGTTTGTCTTGGGCAATTTTAGGTCACCTGACCATTAGTCTTAATGACCTATTGCAATCGGTCTTTGTCATCGTTGTCTGTCATGTGTTAACATTTTCGACTTGGCACGCAGGGGTCATAGGCCAAATTCGTATCAAAACTCTACTGTTAGGTGTCCCATGCAAGTGAACAACTGTTACCACTAATGTAAAGCCTAGGAGAACTCTATAAATGGATATTGTTGTTATGTAAATTTCCTGCCACCAATGTTAAATGCATTCTTGCCAGGTGACTTTTCAGGCCCATTGGCCTCTTGTTCATTAACTATTTTATTTGGAGTAAGGAGATTTAGTAAGCAAGTACATATCTAGGGAAGGTGGAGTGTAGAGTACAAGAAGTAGGTCACTGTGACCTATGATTTGACTTTTACCTCACTACTAGGGAGTTGCAATATTCATATTACAATAATGGTGAAATGGACACTGGTTCATATTATCATGGGCTCCACATAGCCATACCTTCAGCAGGCCAATCATGGTAGCATGTGTGTAACCATCTCGTCTGGTAAATATGATTATACAGTGGGGAACTCAATATCTTTTCTGTTATACTCCTAGCAGTAAGTAAACAGTTTATATTTGCGAGTTCAGAATAATGCACAAGTTCAATTTTTAAATTTAAGTGCCTGTTATGTTGTCAAAATTTAAACTTTATGCAAAATGATTAAATTTGTACTGGAAAGGAGGTAGCAGTTATTTTTATATGCCTGTCGAAATTCAACGGGGGTATTATTAGTTACACGGATTTTTGGCAGGGTATACGGGATGGTATGACCATAAAGGGTTTCGTATTTCCTGAGGCCGATAGGCCGAAGGAAATACGAAATACTGTAGGGTCATACCATCCTGTATACCCTGCCAAAAATCTGTGTAGCGAATTTATTACCCCTTTGAGTCTTTTATATTGGTTTTGTACAGTTCCCCGTCAACTTTTCTGTTATCAAGATAAAAATGGCACAGTACCTCATTTAGTTTCGTTTTATCAAATTCCTCGAACTGTTCTCTCTGATTTATTTCTTTTAAATACATCCTCAGCATGTTTGCCGCTCGTCTGTTCGACTTTTGTGTGTTTTGTGGCACATAGTTAGCCCTTTTGGTGAGTATTTCCTCATCAGTATGCAAAGCGAAACGTTTTGCCATTTTGTAAACAGCGAAGCAGATGACGAATGCGAGTTGTCTTCCCGTTGCCCGGCCGCAAGTTACAAAGACACGTGACCCGTATACCCCTTGTAAAATCACGTGATTCCACCGTATTACTGCTGAGATTAACGTGACATGACAGTATACCCCCTGAGATTTGTAAATGCGGTTTGGTACACTGTAGTTTTTAACCAATCAGATTCCTAGATTTTTCTCAAAGGGGTAATAATATGGTAAAGCATCTCCGTCCGTCCAACCGGTTAAAGATTTGGTGCAAGTTTCTTCAGTGGTCTAAATTTCAGTCAGATCATGTGTTGTTGTCCTAATTTTTGGCATGGATGTTCATGTGGGGTATAAGAAGGACAATATGGATTTGAGTTTGGGAAAATAATTCCTATTTTTAAGCCGCTCTTGGCGAGAGTCGAGCGGCTTATTAATTCTGTCCAGAGAACGAAATGACGGACCCACTTCCGTTCGGGGTGCGTGCGCATAATTCAGAATTGCATGCTTCCGCTATATAGTTTCGTTATCGTCAATAGAAAGTAGAATCTCTGACACTCACCTGTGGGTTACATAAAGTCTTCTGATACTCTTCTCCAAATAATAATCCATACTTTAAATAATTGCTGAAAACAAAATGTTTATCTCCAGTGAATTCTACGAGTGTTGTGGTGGTGAAATTTGTGCACTAGGTTTGAGCGTTTTAACAAATCGGATTGCGGTCTTGGGAGTGTTACGCGTGTGAAACACATATGATTCGAGAAAGCACATGTGAAGACTGTCAAGCATTGACGCTGTCTGTAGAAGGAAGAAGTTAATATATAAACTTATAAACCGTATGAGTGATGAAGTATAAACTCCATTTTGATGTTTAAAACGGTAACGTATATATATCACATCGTGCTTAGGTTGATAACGGTAGACTAATGGCTCCGAGACGAGCCGATATGTGAACTGTGTATGCTTATCAAACATTTTTGTAACACAGCATGCTATTTCTGGTGTATTTATTTATGAAAGTGTAACAATTTAAGAACATGACACAACTGCCGCTGCTGTTTGACAAGAATTCGCGCCGTGTCAAAATAGTATCCAATTGGGTGTAAGGGAAATAACTCTTACGTTGGTAAAGTCGCATTGGGAAATATATTTCAAATATATTCCAAGAACATTTGTGAGATTTTGTATATTCAATGACGGTAAATATAGTCGCTACAAATATTAATAATTTCCACTAATATGAATAAAAAATAAATAAAAATAAAAGGAGTACAATGTCTCTTTTCTCCATGCATGTTTTCCCACTACATGTACTGTTAATTATCTTTCATTTCACAAGCAAAAAATGCACCTATTCTTTATTATCCATTCACCGATTGTCGTTCTGCACGTAAACGCTCATGTAACATCATTGGAGGATGCTAATTAATGAAAATTACAACAATGCGTCACACTTAAAGAGGGTGAAAAAAGAGGAGAGGGAGAAATGTTTTTAAGGCATCATTTAAGAGGAGATTGATTTTGAAAATCCTAAACGCAACATCATCAGATGACCTTATTTTCAATTAGCAGAATACAGATCACATATCTGAGTTATTATAGTAGATTTTTATGCTCAACGTGTCACTGAAGCAATTAAATTTAAAGTGGTGAGCGGCTGTAATGTCACACTGACATAATTCTAGTTGTTAATTGTTATACATGTAGCCAATTACGGTAGACATGTCCCTATAAACCCACACGTCAAATCAAATTAAGGGGAGTCAAAAACATCTCCGAAGGGTCTACGGCATGCCCTGATTAAGAGGCATTAGGCAGTACATTAGCAAAGAACCAATTACATAAATGTGAACAGTACAGTGATAATCGTTCTTGGTAACAAAAGCATCGGTGCAAGCATTTTTATCACATAGACATGACACTGGCTACCAGGTACTTTAAATATAAAACAAACAAAAATCCTTGGATAGGGTCAGACGGGCATATTATGCATCCGTTTGCAGTGCTCTTGTTTTTTATGAATGGGTGTATTTTTCAGATTGAGAGGATGAAGTCAGAGAGGGAAATAGCTTTGGAGACTCAAGTTCGTCTCAGCCGCATGGTGAAGGACAAGGATGACTTCCTAAACAGACTCAAGGACCAGAGGAAGGAGGAGTTCAAGGTATCATCCAGTTTTAAGCCCACTATACTATCCATCATAGATGGTGGGCTTTTCAATTCACCCTTCGTCTGTCTTCCATTAGCTCAGTCTATCCTTTATATCACTATTTCTCAAGAAGATTTTCTTAAATTTCCTATGTAGGTCCCCTTTGGTTCTCTTATACATGTACATGTTTATACCCCTTCTCAACGAGGGTAGGGGGTATACTGGTATCAGCTCGTCAGACAATTCATTTCAAAATTACGTGAACAATTACATTGAAAACTTCTCGGAGTGATACATAGAAGATACTTTACATTAAATGGACACCTTTTTGATTTCTAGATTGCTACCATGGCCTCTGATTGGCTATGGGGATGGGAGGAGGGCATGTTATTATTGTGCCTGTGGCTGACAGTAGCCGCAATCTAATCAGAATTTTTAGCGCCCCATCAGTTCCCGAGGGAGAACAAAGGGTTTACACTCAGTCTTTTGGTCCGTCCGAGATGTTTGTCCGGGGCATATCTTCTATATTATTTCACCTGTAGTATCAAAATTTGGTGTTCAAGGATATCTTAGGATGGCGCAGTGCAGAGTGCAAAGATAAGGTCACTGTGAAGTATGTGTTGACCTTTGACTTTTAGTTTTTATAAAGTTTGTCCAGGTCATTTCTTCTATACTATTTACTTGGAGTAACCTGATGGTGTACAAGGACATCCTGTGCATGAAGTAGGTCACTATGACCTATGCTTCCAGGTCTGTCACCTATTTGATTAGATGTGCATGTTTCATTTGGAGACTTGACAGAAAAACAGGATGGCAGCCATCTTGGATTTTGACCGTTAAGTTTAATATCAAAAATTCATTTCAAGACCGACTGGTCCCTTTGTCAAGCTGGACCTTGACCCACTTTGAAGGTAACTGGGATCAAGTGTTAATCAGATAGTATGCTATTCAATTTGTTGTCATCCATGACCCTCGGTCTGCATGTCCTTACATAAAAAGTACTTGACAGATCTTTCTCAGACTTCATATGATGGATTTAATTTCGAGAGTGATCGGAATAACAAGATAGGTGCAAAGTAGCCATCTTTGATTTTAAGAGTTAAATATTGTTATTGCTATTTCTCAGGAAATGCTCGACAACTATTTCTTAGATTTCAGACTAAGGTTGCCTTTGATCAGTAGTTGTGCATGTATCATTTTGGGACTGTTCGGAAAATCAAGATGGATGCCAGGCAACCATCTTGTGTTTTGAGAATTTAAGCTTATCGCTTTTTCTCATGAAGTTCCCATTGGTCCAAAGTTTTGCATGTTTCAAATTAGGACTGATGAATAAACAAGATGGCCACCAGACAGTCATCTTTGATTTTGAGATTTCAAGTTTGTTATCACTTTTTCTCAAGAAGGCACTTTGAAAGGACACTCCCAAACTCAACATTATAGAATTTTTTACCAAAAGTTGCTACAAGATATATTTACTGTTAAGAAGACTATCAATCCAACAGATCAGAGAAATGAAGGGAAAAGATCAAACTGACAAAAAACTAATATGGACTAATGAAGATCTTACGACAATTGGCACCAAAATCTTTCAGAGATCTCTTGTACTGTTTGAGATTTTTATTCTTCATTGTGCCGTTTAAACAAAAATATTCTGAAGTCAGAAAATCTGTGGCAGTTAGATAAAAAATATCATTATGATGGTCAATTTATCAATAACATAACACTTTGTATATCCTCACAATGAAGATATTATCAGATTTCATCACATTGATAATTTCTGATATTTCAGTGGTAAAATTGTAATAAAGTATTTGTTTTCCATTTGGTGATAATTAATCTTTACTTAAATAGACGTACGAAAAGATGTTTTCAATGTTTTGTGCACATTGCATTTATCAAATTATTTAAAATATGTATATAATTGAACAATTGTCTTCAAAATGTAGATGTATAAAGGATACCATATTTCATTTGTTACAAGGGTGGCATGAATGTCAGTTTGACATATATGAAGTTTTTGTTATTGTTGTTTTCAGAAAAAGTTGACAGAATTTGATGAGAAAATGAAAGAGGAGCGTAAGAGACGTATCAAAGAGAGAAAGGAGAAGAGAAAAGAAGAAAGGAAAAATAAATGGAGGGAAGAAAAGGAAGAAGCAGAACAGAAAGCAAGAGATGAGGCCCTTATAAGGGGTAAGTAATAAGTTATATCTGGGAGGAAATGTGTGAACATCCCGGAGTAAATCATGCTGCCATTGTCCGAATCATCACTACTTCAGCATTTTATCATTTTGAAACCAGTCCATGACAGGACATATAGTATTGCATTGTGCGGTGGGCTAGGGAATCAATGATTTAATGTCATTGGTGTCCTGGAACCAGGGTCATGGTTTCCAGACCAATAATGCGAACATTTTCATAGTTCTTGGATCACAACTTTTTAGCCCACCATCATCTGATGGTCGGCTATTCAAATCACCCTGCGTCCGTGGTCCGTCCGTCGTCCGTCCTTAAACTATTCTTCTTATCGCTATTTCTCAAGAAGTACCAGAGGGATCTTTCTCAAATTTTATATGGAGGTTCCCCTTGATCTCACGTTGTGCATGTTATATTTTGAGACTGATCATAAAAACAAAATAGATTAAAAGAAGAACTAAACAGATCTTTCTCATATTGCAATGATCGATTCTATTTCTTTCACATTAAGTACTGTACTAGTAAATATGTGAAATGACAAACTCACTTTGAAGGTTGACTTTCATACACATCAGTATTAAGTTTAGATCAAAAGTTACCTCAAGGTGCATTTACTGCTAACATGTCTCGATCAAACAGATTAGAGGAAAGAAGAGAAAAGATCAAACTGACAAAGAACTAATGAAGATGGTACAAAGGTGGGCGCCAAGATCCCTCTGGGATCTCTTGTTAAAGGTTGATATTTCAAAACATAAATCATCAGAACACAAGTATACTATAGTATACCAGAGTCAGATCCCAGTGCTAACCCTGGTACCCTGGGTTAGCACAGGGATCTTACTCTCGGGAAATAAAGTTTCTGGTCATTACATAGAAATGATTTAGATCCAATCCATATGCACGATCACATGGTTTTCAACCAGATTTGCTATAAGTTTCCTTAGGTCCGGGGACAGAGCTTAAAATGATAACACTTTTGTGCAGAATATTTTGCTTTGATTGCATGCTTAAATTTCCAAGCAATACAGGCTTTCTAAAAGTCCTTTTGTTTGTCGAAATTATAATTTCCTACGTTTACCAAACTTAATAAAGACATGTATCTTGGGAAAGATAAAGTGTTGCATACTTCTTTGGATATACAAATATAGAACATGGCATATATTGTACCCATTTTATTATATCCTCACACAACGAGTTGTTGAAAGTCGATCTGTCTGTACGTTTTTTCGTTCAGTTGTGTCTCAAACAGCATCACCACTCTGCAGACTTCATTTCTTATCTGATTGTCAGGAAACTTCACGCACATGTTCTCAAATATCACCTCTGACTTGTACAATTTTAAATTTCAAACTTCTGCAGCAAAAGCAGTCACTGTTACTATAGAGTTAGAATTTTGGACTTCATCGTTCTACAGACTCTTCCAATTTGTCAAGAAAGTAAACACATATATATGTTTAAAAACATCATCTCTTGAACAATTTCGTGTGTTGACCTTGTGTTGTCAAAAACTAGGTCACTGTTACTATCAATAGAATTTAAAAGAAATTGCTTGACAAACTTCATTTCTTTTCTGGTCATCACAATTCTTCACATACGTTCACAAACATCCCCTTTTCTGCTAGTTTGTGTTTTGACCTTCTGCGATCAGAAATTTTGTGTTTCATGACTTTGAAGTGTAATAAATCAAATAAATTTAAGAACACAACATAAAATTCGAAAGATTGTGTACTTGCCTGATTTTGTCAACATGAAATAATACATTTGTTATTGTGAACTCTGGTGTTGTAGAGCGAGAAGAGAAGGAGCAAGAGGAGATGGAGAAGATGGAGGAGGAGCGACGTGAATATGAGAATAGACTTGCCAAACTTGAGGAATTAGATAACAGACGAAAGGCCAGGGAGCGAGAGATTGAGGAAAAAGAGATGAGGAGGCGTGAGGAGGAAAGGTCTGGTCAGAGGTAAGTGGGTAGAAGAAAAATTATATGCAGCAGGGAAAATCCTGGAACTTGAGAGCAGTGGGACATTTCAGCAATTTGTAATCAATATCAAAATATTGAGGGGCCATTCTATGTAAAAATTAAAAGAAGATTGGAACATGGAGGGGTCAATTTCAGTTTTGAGGGGTCTATGCATTGCCCACTCCAAGATTATCCCTGTGCAGTACTAATAAGTATAGTTATGTCTCTCAAACGAAGTGTGGGGACATTGTGTTAACTCTGTTTCTTATTCTTATTCTTATTAACAAGTAGGTAAGAGATGGAGCATCAACACCAGGGATTCAGTGAATCAGGAGATTTTATTTGTTGACGTCATCAGAACAATTTTACATTGGCATTGTATAGCTAAGGTGCAAATTACAGTTCACAATATGACATCATGATATTGTCTATTGAATGATATTGTGATAACACATGTTTATCTTCTGGTCTGAAGGATCATGGTGAGCATATGTTGTACTGTGGCATCCATCAGCCATCAATCAACAGTTTCTTCAAACTATTTCTTCATATCACTAACTGAAATTTGACTGGAAGCATCCTAGGTGGTGGGGGTGTACAATTTGAATGACTGGCCAAAGGCATGTTTTGGCTATATTGATTTGAGTGACTTCTCCTTTGAAATTGTACCAATTGAAGGGCTGACCCATATAGTTTAAACATGGAAATGGTTGAGATCCTCGCCCTAAAACCATGTATAAAATTGATCGGTATTAAGTGACAAATTCACATGATATCAGGATGTCTCCAGGCTTGCCCAAAACCCATAGAGACTTTTTCCCTTGGTCATAACTTTAAAATAGTCCAGATGATCATGCCATAACTATCATATACAGTTGCTTGACATAAAGAGGAAAATATGCATATGCTACCAGAATGGCTCCAGGGTTTTGTCCCTACCCTAAAGACTTGGTCCCTGATTCATAATTTTGAAACGGTTGTGATCTCAATTCCCTTATAAACAATTGCTTGGCTTAAAAATACTAACAAAATAATGAAAATTACATAGAGGAGTACAGATGCTTCCAAGATGGCTCTGGGATGTGGCTCTTCTTTCCTTTGGAGACAGAGTCCCTTGGTCATAACATGGTAACATTTTAGATCCCCAGAGAACTGGCCCTAGTCATGAGATCTTATTTGCAATGCTTATTTTAGTGGGAATAGTTTGCATATACAGTATTGCGTAAATATCCAGCGGTACAGACTGGACCTCAGTTTTGCATCAGATGGATTTAATAAATGTATGTCATTTTGGCATGGGATGGATATAAATTGTTCCTCCCTGCTGTACGCTTTGTCAACACACTTATGTGGTATAACGCACAGCAAGCAAACTAATGATTCCAGTGACTGAGAGCTTGAAAGCTTTTAAAAACGGGCTTATATTTGTTGTGTAAAAAAAAATAACCTGAGTTATGATTTTACAAACTAGAATACATGTGGTAGATTTTCTAGAGAGAGACATTTTCTAAATATGTTTTATTTATCATCTTAATTATAAAAATACTTTATGCACACCCTTAGGCGTGGAGATGAGATATCCACGGATCGTCCTACATGGAGACCAGAAGGGGCACGTGAAGGAGGGGGATGGCGCGAACGGGAAAAACAAAGAACTGAAAGCTGGAAAAAAGAAACTAGTCCTGTCAAGCAGTAAGTTATAACCTGTAATATGTATGTAGGAAGAGGATAGGATAGTGACTGATCTGTTCCAGTTATGTGTGGAGGGAAATAAAACCTGGAGTTGTGTCTGGGAAGGTGACTAATCATCAAGTTAGAATTGATGCTGAGATCTAGTCGCACCCCTTGGGACTCGGGGTCTCTTGGTTCCCAATTTGCAAACAAAGAATTGTGTTTGGGTTGGTACAGGATGGAGCCATATCTGGGTAGGTACAGGATGGAGTTGTGTCTGGATAGGTACAGGATGGAGCCATGTCTGGGTAGATACAGGATGGAGCCATGTCTGGGTAGATACAGGATGGAGTTGTGTCTGGGTAGGTACAGGATGGAGTTGTGTCTGAGAAGGTACAGGATTGAGCCATGTCTTTATAGGTACAGGATGGAGCGATGTCTGAGAAGGTACAGGATGGAGTTGTGTCTGGGTAGGTACAGGATGGAGTTGTGTCTGGGTAGGTACAGGACGGAGTTGTGTCTGGGTAGGTACAGGATGGAGTGATGTCTGGGTAGGTACAGGATGGAGTGATGTCTGGGTATATACAGGATGGAGTGATGTCTGGGTAGGTACAGGATGTAGTTGTGTCTGGGTAGGTACAGGATGGAGTTGTTTCTGAGAAGGTACAGGATTGAGCCATGTCTTGGTAGGTACTGGATGGACTTGTGCCTGAGAAGGTACAGGATGGAGCCATATCTGGGTAGGTACAGGATGGAGTTTTGTCTGGATAGGTACAGGATGGAGCCATGTCTGGGTAGGTACAGGATGGAGTTGTGTCTGGGTAGGTACAGGATGGAGTGATGTCTGGATAGGTACAGGATGGAGCCATGTCTGGGTAGGTACAGGATGGAGTGATGTCTGGATAGGTACAGGATGGAGCCATGTCTGGGTAGGTACAGGATGGAGTTGTGTCTGGATAGGTACAGGATGGAGCCATGTCTGGGTAGGTACAGGATGGAGTTGTGTCTGGATAGGTACAGGATGGAGCCATGTCTGGGTAGGTACAGGATGGAGTTATGTCTGGATAGGTACAGGATGGAGCCATGTCTGGGTAGGTACAGGATGGAGTTGTGTCTGGGTAGGTACAGGATGGAGCCATGTCTGGGTAGGTACAGGATGGAGTTGTGTCTGAAAAGGTACAGGATGGAGCCATATCTGGGTAGGTACAGGATGGAGTTGTGTCTGGATAGGTACAGGATGCAGTTGTGTCTTGGTAGGTACAGGATGGAGTTGTGTCTGGATAGGTACAGGATGGAGTTGTGTCTGGATAGGTACAGGATGGAGCCATGTCTGGGTAGGTACAGGATGGAGTTATGTCTGGGTAGGTACAGGATGGAGTTGTGTCTTGGTAGGTACAGGATGGAGTTGTGTCTGGGTAGGTACAGGATGGAGTTGTGTCTGGGTAGGTACAGGATGGAGTTGTGTCTGGGTAGGTACAGGACGGAGTTGTGTCTGGGTAGGTACAGGATGGAGTGATGTCTGGGTAGGTACAGGATGGAGTGATGTCTGGGTATATACAGGATGGAGTGATGTCTGGGTAGGTACAGGATGTAGTTGTGTCTGGGTAGGTACAGGATGGAGTTGTTTCTGAGAAGGTACAGGATTGAGCCATGTCTTGGTAGGTACTGGATGGACTTGTGCCTGAGAAGGTACAGGATGGAGCCATATCTGGGTAGGTACAGGATGGAGTTTTGTCTGGATAGGTACAGGATGGAGCCATGTCTGGGTAGGTACAGGATGGAGTTGTGTCTGGGTAGGTACAGGATGGAGTGATGTCTGGATAGGTACAGGATGGAGCCATGTCTGGGTAGGTACAGGATGGAGTGATGTCTGGATAGGTACAGGATGGAGCCATGTCTGGGTAGGTACAGGATGGAGTTGTGTCTGGGTAGGTACAGGATGGAGCCATGTCTGGGTAGGTACAGGATGGAGTTGTGTCTGAGAAGGTACAGGATGGAGCCATGTCTGGGTAGGTACAGGATGGAGTTGTGTCTGGATAGGTACAGGATGGAGCCATGTCTGGGTAGGTACAGGATGGAGTTGTGTCTGGATAGGTACAGGATGGAGCCATGTCTGGGTAGGTACAGGATGGAGTTGTGTCTGGATAGGTACAGGATGGAGCCATGTCTGGGTAGGTACAGGATGGAGTTGTGTCTGGATAGGTACAGGATGGAGTTGTGTCTTGGTAGGTACTGGATGGACTTGTGCCTGAGAAGGTACAGGATGGAGCCATATCTGGGTAGGTACAGGATGGAGTTGTGTCTGGATAGGTACAGGATGGAGCCATGTCTGGGTAGGTACAGGATGGAGTTGTGTCTGTGTAGGTACAGGATGGAGTGATGTCTGAGAAGGTATAGGATGGAGTTGTGTCTGGGTAGGTACAGGATGGAGTTGTGTCTGAGAAGGTACAGGATGGAGCCATGTCTGGGTAGGTACAGGATGGAGTTGTGTCTGGGTAGGTACAGGATGGAGTGATGTCTGGGTAGGTACAGGATGGAGTGATGTCTGGGTAGGTACAGGATGGAGTGATGTCTGGGTAGGTACAGGATGTAGTTGTGTCTTGGTAGGTACAGGATGGAGTGATGTCTGGGTAGGTACAGGATTGAGCCATCTCTGGGTAGGTACTGGATGGAGTTGTGTCTGGGTAGGTACAGGATGGAGTGATGTCTGGGTAGGTACAGGATGGATTGGTAGGGACAGGATGGAGGGATGTAGTTGTGTCTGGGTGAGACAGGATGGAGCCATGTCTGGGTAGGTACAGGATGGAGTTGTGTCTTGGTAGGGACAGGATGGAGGGATGTCTGGGTAGGTACAGGATTGAGCCATGTCTGGGGAGGTACTGGATGGAGTTGTGTCTGGGGAGGTACAGGATGGGGTGATGTCTGGGTAGGTACAGGATTGAGCCATGTCTGGGGAGGTACTGGATGGAGTTGTGTCTGGGGAGGGACAGGATGGAGTTGTGTCTGGGTGAGACAGGATGGAGCCCTGTCTGGGGAGGTACAGGATGGAGGTGTGTCTTGGTAGGTACAGGATGGAGTTGTGTCTGGGTAGGTACAGGATGGAGTTGTGTCTGGTTGGGTCTGATTTATCATTACAGATACAGTACATTTTGTAAAAAAAAAAAAAACATGTACTGTTAATTTTTCCCACAGAAAAAAAAAAAATAGTAACAAAATTTCTTAGTAAAAACATTAATATATGCATGACTAACTTCAGTAAATCTCCAACTGCAATTGAAACAAAAATACCTGTTAACTGTTAAGTTTCAATTTTCAGACCCGAGGAGGAAAGATGGGGTGGTAACCGAGAGAGTGGAAGGCCTGAAGAAGGTAGGGAAGGCTGGCGCAGCCGTGAGGGACGTGATGAAGGAGAAAAAGATGGTTGGAGAGGTCCCAGGGATGACAGAGAAAGTGATGGATTTAGAGGACCACCTAAGGAAGATCGGGGTGGATTTGAAAGAGGCCCTCGGGACAGTAGAGATAGCTATGGAGATCGAGGGCCAAAAGATGACCGTGATAGCTTCAGGGGTCCTCCCAGAGATGACCGTGATGGACCAAGAGACAGGGGTCCCTCTAGGGATGAAGGACGCTGGAGTGACCGTGGTCCGCGAGATGATCAAGATGGACCAGGCTCCTGGCGAGGAAGAGAGGACAAAGGGCAAAGGGAGGAAGGCAGTGGAGCTTGGCGAGGAAGTCGTGGTGGTGACTCTGAAGGAGGGAGGAGATGGGGATCCCAAGGAGGGGAATCAGAAGGCGGAAGATGGGGTTCCAGAGGAGGGGATTCTGAAGGCAGTAGTCATTGGTCCAGAGGTGGTGATTCTGAGGGAGGAAGAAGAGGCATTGATACAGAGAGTAGATGGTCTAGAGGAGGGGACTCGGAAGGAGGAAGCAGATGGGGCTCCAGAGGTGGGGACTCTGAGGGTGGAAGCAGATGGGGCTCTAGAGGAGGGGACTCAGACAGCGGACGCTGGGGATCCAGAGGAGGAGACTATGAAGGGGGAAACAGGGGAGGTGACTCTGAGGGAGGAGGTAGATGGAGTTCAAGAGGTGGAGACTTTGACAGTGTTCGAAGGGGAGGTGACTCTGATGGTGGAAGTAGGTGGAGATCAGGGCGGGCAGGAATGCCCCGGGATGTACGCCTGGATGATCCCATCCCAGAGAACAGACCACAGCGTCAGGAGTCGAAGCCCAAAGCAGGTAAGCTGTAATTTGTTCTAGGATTGTAGTTTTTCTGACAATTGGAACTGTAAAGCTGTCAATGGACACAACAGACTGCTGGATTCCACCAGCTTCTTAGCTCATCTGAGCTGAAGGGCCAACTTGGCTGAAGGGCCATCTGGGTTGAAGGGCCAACTGAGAAATTGCAATCCATTAAAGCCCATTGTCTGTCCTGTCTCATTGCTATGCAATGTAAGCACTCTAGCAACTTCATACTTAGACAGATCTCAAACTTTATACAAAGAATAACCATATGTATATTATAGCAATTGTGGGTCAGTCAACAATTACCACAAGTACATGTTATAGTGGGTCAGTCAACAATTACCACAAATATTATTATTATTTTTTCATATTATTCCCGACAAGTGATTGGGCAGGAGTGCATCACGTGTCCAACGATAAAAACCGATATTGACTTGGAGCGCATGATTTTTGTTGAAGGACTGGGTGTTTCTAAATATAGATTTATGACGTGTCTCCAAACAATGCACCATCCCACTTCCGAAGCTTTTTTGCTTTGTTTTTCAGATTGCTTACATTTCTGTTTTGTAAAATAATAAAAAAAAATTGTAGCCATTAACTTCGTCAATACCTGGATTTATCAACCCGAGAAAAGATATATTGACCTCGGACTGCGTCCTTGGTCAATATCTCTTTTCTCGGGTCGATAAATCCAGGTTTCGACCTCAGCCAAAGGCTATAATTGAATAATGTTCTAGTGGGTCAGTCAACAATTACCACAAGTACACATGTTATTGTGGGTCAGTCAACAATTACCACAAGTACATGTTATAGTGGGTTAGTCAACAAGTACCACAAGTATGAATGTTCTAGTGGGTCAGTCAACAATTACCACCAGTACATGTTATAGTGGGTCAGTCAGCAATTACCACAAGTATGAATGTTCTAGTGGGTCAGTCAACAATTACCACAAGTATGAATGTTCTAGTGCGTCAGTCAACAATTACCACAAGTACACATGTTAAAGTGGGTCAGTCAACAAGTACACATGTTATAGTGGGTCAGTCAACAATAACCACCAGTACATGTTATAGTGGGTCAGTCAGTGCTTGGTAAACTGTTTATCTCCCAGCTTTTGCCATAACAACACTTGATATGCCGTGGCGCGGCGTCCAGCGTCAATATTTTGCTTTTAACCACTTTTCTCAATAACCAAAAGGCTTAGGGTGATGATATTTCGCCAGTAGCATGCTGAGATGAAGGGCTACCAAGTTTGTTCAAATGAATGACCTTCACCCGTATTCAAGGTCACAGGGGTCAATTGTTAAAAAATACCTTTTAACAACTTCTTCTGAATAACTAAAAGGCCCAGGATGTTGATGTTTAGTCAGTAGCATACTAGGATGAAGGGCTACCAAGTTTGTTTAAATGCACGACCTTGAATCATATTCAAGGTCACAAGGAGCAAATATGTTCAAAATGTTTTAAACAACTTGTTCTGAATAACCAAAAGGCCCAGGATGTTGATATATAGTCAGTAGCATGCTGGGATCAAGGACTACCATGTTTGTTAAAGTGAATGACTTTGACTTATATTCAAGGTCACAGGGGTCAAATTTGTTTAAAATCTTTAAACGACCTCTTCTGAATAACTATGGGTCCCAGAATGTTGATATTTTGCAAGTTGCATTCTGAGATGAAAGGCTATAAAATTTGTTCAACATAATGACCTTGTTCGACTTTCAATAACAGGGGTGAAATGTTTTTAAAAAAAATAACAGGTTCTTTTGAATGAATTTTATTCATAAATACTGATATTTTGCCTGTAGCTTTATTTTAGATCACTTTAAGGTTACAAGTGTGAGATTTATACCAGGTGAGCGTTGCAGGCCCATTGGGCCTCTTGTTGGAAATAGGTTAACCGGTTACAATAATTTGTAACCGTGACAGCCTTACTACCAAGATTGGCCTCATAATGTTACAATAAACACACATGCTGTCTCAGACCTTGTGCTATGCTGATAGAAATTTCAATGCGGAAATGAAAGTGCGCAAGTCTTTATACAAATCACTGTATTGGAGCGTACACGTTGGATTGCTCAGTTGATTTCGACATTCCGAAATGGGTATGAGTTAATCAGGAAACATATCCACATTTATAGACCCCAATGACACCTGACATCTCCTCAACACGACGTAGTCAACAATAATTATCGTATTGTTCCTATAATCTCTCAATTAATTATCAATGCCATACAAGCTCCTGTAAAAACATAAACCAACGAACCAGTCCTAGGTTGTGATTTTTACTGTGGAGCGTATTTACGCATGACCGCACACTGTGACCCATTTTCCGGTTAGAATGTGTCGGCAGCTTTGGTTTAAATAAATTGCATTTCAAATTGTTTACGGGCTCGCAGTAAGTACTAATTGTTGTTAATCAACATTGATGAAGTTTGTTTCTTTATTTTTACAAAGTGTTTTTACAGTCAAACACATTTTAATGCCATAAGTTTAATCCAAGTAATTATGACCGAGCGTAAGCTGCTCTTTGAGAACGATGTTTACCGTAGCACTGCTTTTAATATGTATCAAATAATTAAAGAATATATGATAGACTTGTGAATCTTAAGAAACTTCGAGGTAGGAGATATTTTTGTGTAGGATTTACGTTGTTGGGACCGATGTTTCACTTCGGGATATCAGAGTTTTTCGAGTTTTCAGAGTTCGAATTATCAGAGTTTTTATTAGAAAATTTAAGAAGAGTTTTGGCCGGGACCGATAAAATACTTCGAGTTAAACGGGGTCTTCGAGTTATACGAGTTCGAGATAACGAGGTTCGACTGTATAGATATAATTAAAAATTATACCAAATCTTACCGTGAATAAAAATACACAGACAATGTTTAATTACTTACAAAGTTCTCCTATGTCACGAAGCTTATATGATAATGTTTTGATAGTATATTAATTAAATATAACTGGTTTTCTACTTTAGTTTAACGTAAAACTTAATATTGTTAAATGCATCAAAACACTTGATATTTTTTATCGGTGTATGAAAAACACTTATAACTAGGCAACAAAGAGATAAGCAGTGAACACCATCACATGATAACACAACATCATGTTATACTGACATAACACCATGATGAAATTACTCAACAACATCACATGATTACACAACATCATGTCATACTGACATAACAACGTGATGAAATAACTCAACAGCATAGCATGGGTACTGAACATCATGTCACACAGACATAACAACGTGATGAAATAACTCAACAACATAGCATGAATACTCAACATCATGACATGGATACTCAACATCATAGCATGAATACTCAACATCATGACATGAATACTCAACATCATAGCATGGGTACTCAACATCATAGCATGAATACTCAACATCATAACATGAATACTCAACATCATAGCATGAATACTCAACATCATGGCATGAATACTCAACATCATGACATGAATACTCTACATCATAGCAAGGATACTCAACATCATAGCATGAATACTCAACATCATAACATGAATACTCAACATCATAACATGAATACTCAACATCATAGCATGAATACTCAATATCATAGCATGGATACTAAGCATCATAGCATGAATACTCAACATCATAGCATGGAAACTCAACATCATAGCATGAATACTCAACATCATAACATGAATACTCAACATCATAACATGAATACTCAACATCATAGCATGAATACTCATCATCATAGCATGAATACTCAACATCATAGCATGTATACTCAACATCATAGCATGGATACTCAACATCGTGACATGGATACTCGACATCATAGCATGAATACTCAACATCATAGCATGTATACTCAACATCATAGCATGGATACTCAACATCATGACATGGATACTCAACATCATAGCATGAATACTCAACTTCATAGCATGGATACTCAACATCATAGCATGAATACTTAACATCATAGCATGAATACTCAACATCATAGCATGAATACTGAACATCATAGCATGGATACTCAACATCATAGCATGGATACTCAACATCGTGACATGGATACTCGACATCATAGCATGAATACTCAACATCATAGCATGGAAACTCAACATCATAGCATGAATACTCAACATCATAACATGAATACTCAACATCATAGCATGAATACTCAATATCATAGCATGGATACTAAGCATCATAGCATGAATACTCAACATCATAGCATGAATACTGAACATCATAGCATGAATACTCAACATCATAGCATGTATACTCAACATCATAGCATGGATACTCAACATCATAGAATGGATACTCAACATCATAGCATGAATAATCAACATCATAACATGGATACTCAACATCATAACATGAATACTCAACATCATAACATGAATACTCAACATCATAACATGAATACTCAACATCATAGCATGAATACTCAACATCATGGCATGAATACTCAACATCATAGCTTGAATACTCAACATCATAGCATGTATACTCAATATCATAGCATGGATACTCAGCATCACAGCATGAATACTCAACATCATAGCATGGATACTCAGCATCATAGCATGAATACTCAACATCATAACATGAATACTCAACATCATAACATGAATACTCAACATCATAGCATGAATACTCAATATCATAGCATGGATACTCAACATCATAGCATGAATACTCAACATCATAGCTTGAATACTCAACATCATAGCATGAATACTCAATATCATAGCATGGATACTCAGCATCATAGCATGAATACTCAACATCATAGCATGGATACTCAACATCATAGCATGGATACTCAACATCATAGCATGAATAATCAACATCATAACATGGATACTCAACATCATAACATGAATACTCAACATCATAACATGAATACTCAACATGATGCTGTTTCAACTCAACGCTATTATGAGACCGCTTAACGACATATTATGACTACTCGGCATTACACTTTTTTGACTTAATAACACCATGGGATGTCAAGGCAAGTACATGGCGAGACCACTGGACATCAAACTATGATTACTCAACGTTATAGAGTTTCAACTCAACACAATGACATGTCCACCCAACATCATGATATGTTAACTTAACACAATGACATGTCCACCCAACATCATTATATGTTAACTTAACACAATGACATGTCCACCCAACATCATGATATGTTAACTTACACAATGACATGTCCAATGAATTTGCTGTAAAAAGTCATGCAGAATAACTTGTTTTTCATGTTGTAGAGGAGACCAGGCAAGAAGGAGAAAGTAGGTCATGGAGAGAAAACCCATCCCCTGAAAAAGGTAGGAATTCAGATCGATACAATTTCATTCTGGAACAAATTACAGTGCAACCACTCAGGTGCTGGAGTCGGGAAGAAGTCTAGTATAATGTTAAAAGTCAGATAACCTGTTAAATCTGCACAAGAAATATCTATTTCAAAATTAAGTATTGGATTTTATCGGAAATTGTGTACAAAAGTTTGATAAACAGAAACCTGATAATGTAAATTGATAGAAGCATTGTCATTAATAAGCTGAATTTTCTAAAAATAGGGTCAACAATCATTGATTATTTGAATTCCAGTAGGGAGCTTGTATCATCATCATCATCATTAACCCTTGCCATCCGGTAATCATGTAAACACGCCTGTGATTTTTCAAGACTCCTAAGGAGACTGTAAACATGTTTTCGTTCATAGTGACGGATATCCCGGATTTCCTTAGCTGATAATCGGTCAATTGATCTTGTCACCTGACAATGTTTAAACAGATTTAGAACTACTGACAGTTGTGTTTACAGTTGTGTTTATAGAGGTTAG